TTTTTCCTGTATCGTACGGAAGAGGAGACGGCGGAAAATCCTGTTATGGGCGCGGTTAGCAAGTATGTTTTGTTCCGAGTATGCACAAAAGGAGGGACTTACAATTCGAATCTAAAAGCATAAATAGAGGTTCGGTACTGATATCTGAAATCTGTGATAGGGAAACATTTTTACCATCTCAGACACGCCCCATTTTCTTAAGCAAAATAATGAATTGTCGTCCACAAATCACACGAAATCTTAAAAGCAATATTTAGCATTTATTTTTTGCTCAACCGGTGGAGAAAAGATGTACCGAGAATTTATTGGAGGTATTTACCGCTAGAATGTTCTGATCGTGGGATGAAGAAAAAAAAAAAACAAAAATCGGCAAGGACATTTTTACATTTTGAAAATTTTACAAGATTCAAACATGGCCGAATATTAGCAAAAAATGTGAATCATAGCCCATATCAAACAATTATGCAAATCGGAAAAGGACACTAGCTCCACCAGATGGGTAAATTCTGAACTGGGTAGTCCACCATCGAATAGGTCCTTTCCTTCTGAGCAACTTTTCCGAAGACAACAGCGATTTCGATGTCAAATGATACACTAGCACCGCCTGGGGATGGCATTTTGAACTGACTTATGCAATAGGTCTAATCAATCTCTGAACAATATTGTCGAAGCCGCAACCATCTATCTAAGCGAACATTAGAACCAAAATGGCAAACTAGCGCTACTTAGTGAGGAAATCCTCAACTGAACTGCCGTTCATTTTATAGATCTTGTTCATCTGACTAAATTCGCTGAAGCTGGTAGCTGGATTACATCAGCTACATCAGAGTGAATTCGGAATATGGGAGATACGGGGGATACTGTGGAAGATCCGGAACATCCGGAACCTAGATTCTGGCCATCTAAGTAGCTTTTTCTGTCGGCAAAGCTTTTTGGAATTGTGGACCTTCCAAATGGTAAACAGATCAATTTGAAAATTTCTCGCAACGTAGCGCTAGTGTAGATATGTGCCTCCGAGACATCCTGACCATTTATGAAATTGCTGTTTTGAGTTCAAGTAAGTTGATCAACGCTTTTTGCAAGGTACAAATTAATTCACAATTATCTCACTACTGTGCCGTGCAATTGTACATATGAACCTCCAGTAAGTGCTATACTTCGAAAGCCTGACCTGACCATCTAGAGGATTTTGCTATCTTTGGAAAAGATGTTAAGGTGACTAAGGCTACAGTGCAGTGAGAAATAGTTGAACTAATTCTTCCATCCGGAAGGTTTCAATCACCTGAACAACTATTCCGAAGGCAGTAACCTAAGTAGCACTAAGATGAGTGCTTTAGCAGCTACCTCAACCGATTTGTGACAAGTGTGCACATACACATGAGCGCTGCGTAGTGAGAGAATTCGGAATAAATTGGCTCACCATTTGAAAGACCTTGGTCAGCTGAACAACTTTCTCCAAGACGGAAAACTTCCTTAGATGATCTACATCTCAATAGCTAGCTTTGACATAATATTGACTAGCACATTAGCACCACGTGGTGAGAAAATTCTGAACTGCTATCCTCTGATGCAAAGGCCTTAAACCACTATTTTGCCGAAGACAGTGGCCTTCTAAATGGGCAGGATCACGAAATATTCATTACCCCTAGTGGTGACCAACCTTACCCCGCATGAATGGATCACATCATTCGAGCAGTTTAAAATGACGTTTCCTACCACGCGAATTTTGCCGTGGGATAATATTTTGAAAACTTGTCTTCTAGAACCTCGAGGGAACAGGGTCTTATTTATGCTAAGCTTGAAACTTCAGGAATTTATCACTTCACTTTCTCAAATTCGCTGGTAGAAGGTTGCCTCAAAACTGCTCGACAATATGATTAATTTATTCTTGATTTATTTAGGTTTTCTTCGGATCATGATAAATCATCATCAAATGAAAAGGAAATTTCCTGAAAATCAATGTAATTATGAAAATTAATATTGACCCGCTCTCTTCACAAGAATTCAGCAGTGAGGTGCGATTATAATTAGAATTAATCACTTAGTCGTGCAGTTTATGGACGACGACTATTTATATCCTACTTGTCTCGAAGTTCTTGAAGGGGAAGACATCAAAATATTAGCGCGTGATAGAATTCGAGTGGTAGGACACAACTGTACGAATCATGTGATCCATTAATTACTTCATTCGAGCAGTTTAAACTGACAGTTTCTGTCTATTAATATAATATTCTGAGACAAGTTCAAGATTTATGAGAAAGGAGACTTTCACCGAAGACATCATATCAAAAAGACTGACAACTTTGTGTGAATTTAGAGACAAATACAGTAGCGTTGTGCTTGAGGCAACATATGGAAAATGGATCATGGTTGGAATCTTTGCTATCAAATTCATTCGAAGTTTGAATGGTACATTACGTGATTTTAATTGTCTAATAATCTTTGTTAGAAGGTTTTCCCTAAACTGCTCGACGAAATGATAAATTGATTGTTGAAATTAATCATATTGTCGAGCAGTTTTAGGACGCCCTTCTACCAGCGATTTTATGAAAATGAAGAACCTATTTTCTCGAGGTTGTAGAATAATCAATTTCAAACTAATGTTCCACGATCAAGTTCGAGTGGTAGGAAACGTATTTTTAATCTGCTCGAGCAGTTTACAATGACGTTTCTGAGTACTCGAATTTGGTCGTGGAGCAATGTTTTATTATTTTGTATTCTAAAATCTCGAGAAAACAGGATTTTGTTTAATTCGAGCAGTTTATAATGACGTTTCCGAGTGCTCGAATTTTATCGTTGAACGATATTTTGAGATGTTCCCTTTTAAATTCTTTGGAAAATATGATTTCTTCCTGTTCTCTCTTTTTCCTTTTTTCTCTGTCAGAAAGTCATTCCAAAACTGCTCGAATTTGCTATTATTGCAGTTTAAAATTATATCACCAATCATGTGGAAAAGTTAAACAAAGAAACATCATTCGAGCAGTTTCCTATCACTCGGATACGCCATTTTGAAGCTTTTTGGCCGAATTTTATCAAAAATGTGAATGTTTGACCATAACCAGTGTTGGGAAAATATCAAAAAATCAAATCTCACCAATGCCCAAGATCACGCTTGATTTTCGTAGCCAAAAATCAACAAGAATTTCCAACTAACAAAACTCAGCAGCTACACTACGCGACCCAAAACTACCGTCACTGCTGGCAGCAGTAGCTTCGTGTCTGCCATCGGTGAAGAGTGAATAGAGATAGCAAACTATACCTTCTCTTTCTAAGAAAACGATGTGCAACGGAATCATTTTTGTGTTGAATCAACTCTCAGCTTGATTTTTGCATGATGTGAATAGTCTCGCTATATCAAAGGAGCTTGTTAGAACAAAATAAAGCATGATATTTTGTTCCAATTATCACGCGTGATATTGAGAGCGTATGAGAGCGGAAAAATATCATTTGATTGATGATTTTGCCATCACTGACCATAACTAACAATTATGCAAAGTTTCAAGCAAATCGGAGAAGGTAGCATCAGATGTATTGGTCATTTAGTGTGGAACTGCTCTTATGTAAGCCATGGACGAATTTCTGTTTCATGGTTGTGTGCTTAGAAACATTTTGAAGATTGCGGACTTAACTTTCTATTAAAATCCAATTCTTGAAAAACAAGATTCTGGATCATTTGAGGTACTGAAAATTTCGCAAGGTTTCGAATTGACTTTTTCCAGACTTAAGACAAAAACCAATGTTGTGAGACATTTGAAATTGATCGGATCGTGAACTTGTGGAAATAGCTTAATTAAAATCTTGGAATACGGAGAAAAGCAAAATTCAAGGCTCAGAGTAAAAAAAAAACAAAAACAAAGTCATTAATTAAAAAGATCCATAGCGAAATCTCGAGCTGGGAGCAGTTTTAAAGATTTTCGAACTTGTAAAAAATTTCACCAATCTACATTAAGAAGAAATTGCAATATCCTGAATTTGACAATTTTTCATGATACTGGACCCGAGAAAATATATGATTATGGAGGTTCTAAACTACGAAACCTTTGACATCTTGAGGTTTGAATAAACTACTTAAGATATAGTAAATCGACACCTAGGATTTGAATAAATTAAAATCCGGGTATAGAAAAAATGATCAGCTTCAGAACCAAAAAAAAAGTAGTTGTTGGACTTGAGAAAATGGGAAGATCCCGTATTTGTATAAATTTTTAATATTCGTGAGCAGTGATATCTAATCTAACACTTCTTGAAGGCATCCTGGAAAATGATGTATATGCCTCCATCATTTTTCTCGTCTATTCGTTTCTATATGTTTCACATCTAAGATGCGTCACACGTACCAAAACGGCCAGGCCTACTGTACGGCATTTAAGGGGCAAGATGATTCTGAAAATATCGGTCCTGTTTAAATCGATGTTGAGCATTAAAAGTTCCTAAATTTTGAACTCACCAAGATCCCGAGACTGTACAACTTTGTTATTTGGATCTGTTAATAGTTGTAATATTTATTCGCCATACCAAATATCAACTTTTAAAGGTCATTACAAACCACATGGTCCATGCAGCATGGTCTCAAAACCTTCAAAACGTCGAATAATATTTTTCAAACATAATTTGAATCTATATCAAGGCGGTGCAAAACTATACCTGGTGTCGTTTAGAAGTACTTCTTAAAATAAAATTGTTCTATTTCTTAATAGCCGATTTTCTCAACTGAGACAAACTGTTCCTTATGACCTATTGAAAAATCACTCCAGAAATCATTGTTTCCTATGGATCCTACCTAATATTTTAAAAACACTATCGCCATTATAATAATTGCGATAGCGTTTTTAGAACAGTAGGATCCATAGAGAAAAAAAGGTTTCCTCTATTATAGGAACCAAAATTAGCAACTACCACAACTATACGAAAATGGTGCCTATTAATGGATGACTAGCTTTATAATTCACTTAATAATCAAACCATTAAACTTTAATCAGGATGCTTAATTTATTTTTAATTTTTTATTTGTTGTTGAATTTCTATAAAAAGTGCCTGATACTAAAGAAGAAACTCTAAAATAATGTAAAAAATTGTTTTCCGATGGATTATCTGTATATGCAACTGACTTGTTATAAAGGATATTCAAATCTTACTCCCACCTTTTCCATGCGCCTCAATCTTGCTCTACCCTTATCCTATTCGAAAATCCCTAGTCTCCCGCTTCATTCGCATTACTAATAACACACGTACTACTATTTTGCAGATAACAACCTAGATCAACGAGCCATGTTACCGCTTCTGACCGCAATGGAAAAAGCCGAATTTAGTCGAACGCGGCCTGGCGCCAGAACGGTACTAATGCACCAAGGTTTCCGCTACTATCGAGATCGAAACCTAACCTTTACGACCGAATGGCGCTGTGCACTATCAATAAAGCGACAGTGCCCTGCCCGGGCCGCGACCAAAAAAGTCCGGGGCGTAATTTACGTCCACCCTACCGACGACGGACACAATCACGATGTGGACGAATATCGAAGACTCGCTAGAAAAAGTACCTACCGTTTTTTTGTTTCAGTGCATACACCTTTTAACTAACACAAATATTTCTACTCTCAGGTGCCATCGTTCCGTATAAACCGCGGCGCACTCGGATTAACTTACTCCCGTGGACCGAGATGGACGTGGCAGAATTCGGTCAAACCCAGCGTGGAGCTAAACGGCTCGTCCACAATGGTTTCCAATACGTTAAGGTGAAGATGAGTGTGTCTACCACTAACTGGCGCTGTGCCTTAGCACACCGTAAAGGTTGTCGTGCTCGGGTTCTTACCAAAGACATCCAGGGAGTGACGTACGTCCATGCTACTAACGATGAACATACGCACGGTGTAGGGGAGTACTAATAAACATGAACGTCCAAGACTTCATTCCATTCAAATCACTATCGTCCTAACGCTTCAAAACCTTCCTTCCGAGATTCTTACTGTCCGTGAACGTACTTCTTGCCATAAAATAAAATCAATCTTAACGAAGGTGTGTGAAGTACATGATTAACTCACCAGTCTAGTACTTCATTTCGATTTGCCATACTCAAAAGGTGCATTTTCATTTCAGTAACCACCATCCGGGATAAAGTGCACCACACTCGCCTCACACCGCCGCAACTTTTGGCCGTCATGGAGGTGGCCGAATTCGATCTATCCAAGCGAGGAACTAAAAAACTTATCTACAAAGGATTCACCTACTATAAGGAGCGAGATTATCCGTTCTCGACCAATTGGCACTGTGTGGAAAGAAAACATGGATGTCGTGCCCGCGCAGTTAGCAAAAAAAACCGCGAAGTGGTCTACGTCTACCCCACTAAGGATGATCACAACCATGCTGTCGAGGACTGAAAAGTGTAAGTCGTGTGACAGAATATTGCTTCTGTCTGTGTCTATCGGATTGTTTGTTGTGATGTAGGAAGCTCGGTGGCCTAGTGACGACCGGTTTTGCTTCTGAACAGAACAGTTCCAGGTAAAATAGTGGGAAAAATTAATTTTTGAATCGACCTTTTCCGATTTGTATGTCACTTTGCATAATTGTTTGTTATGGGCAATGATTCATATTTTTGCTAAAACGGCATTTCTGGTCGAAATGACATCTGAGACAAATTTGTTGAGGAAAATGATGTTTTTCTAGGAAAAATATACAATTTACTTTTATTTTTGACCTAAAATTGCGACCATCACGAAAAGGTGTGTAAGGTTTTGAACACTTATAACTTTGTCATTTATAGTTGAAATTATAATCCAAATACACCAATCAATAGGAAATAACTCCACGAATCTGCTGAAATATATACAAAACAAGGGCTTTGACTCTGATTTTGAAATTGAATAACTAATAACCCCTTAATTTTAAATTAATGATGTACTAAGCACCTACTTATTGAAAACCAAACGTTTGATTTGAGAAAAGTCTCTTCTACTTCTACTGTATTTTATATTAAAAAAAAAACAAGTTCATTAAACAACTTAACGTAGTCTACGTCAACCAAAACTGGTTGTTCAAATTTCTCCATTTTAGTTTGACTTTTCATGGAATTCATTATCAGGATGTTTTTACGACTTCCTCTGGAAGGTTCTACTGATTCCCCCCGGAAGATTCATGCAACAGCTCCTGGAAGTCCATTCCGGTTTTCCCAAGTGCTTCTAAAGTTTCTAACGACTTCATTTAGGAGTGTTATCCAGACTGCCCTGAAAGTTCCTTCTGGCTGACACCGGACAATTTTTACGATTTCTCCGGGAAGCTCCCCAAAAGTTCTACTGGCCAGCCCCGGAATTGTGTGGTGACTTTCTCTGGAATTTTCTTCCGACTTGCCCGGAAATTGTTTCCCACTTGCCCGGAAATTGCTTCCGATTTTTCCTGGATGTTTATCTCCCGAAAGAGTCGGTCCTCAGCAGGTTTCTTCAATCTTTTTCCGTGAGTTTTTTCGGACTTCTATGGGAGTTCTTTCCAACCGCTGCAAAAAGTCTAATTCAGCTTCCTCTGGAAATTTCTCTTTGATTGTTGATAGTTTTACACAGAGTAAATTTTCCGGGAATGGGAAACGTGATTTTTGATGAGATTAGCAGGGACTGATTGTCAGGATATCAATGATATTCCAATACAAAATAGATTGGTTTTAATCAGGTGATTTGTACAAAACCCTCCAGATAGAAATCCTGGCTGTGCCACTCGTCATGTAGAGTAGCAAGGACCCGTTATGCGATCAATCAAATCTCACGAGTTTTAAAGAATTCAACACAATTCAGACACATCCTGCATTATTCCGAGCTTCGTTGGAGCAAATTTTCAAAACCCATAATGAAACTGAAATTTCATGAGACATACCAAATGTCAAGAATTGACAATCTTAATGACTTTGATTATATTGGCTCTATCCGAATAGGATGTAATATTGCGAATCAACTATGCAGAACTTTCGTAGTTCGATTTTTGAATCGTTCTCAGAGAATCAAAATCTACGATTCAGATAAAAATAATGTCATTCTCATTTTGGTTACCTTCATGATCAGTACAAACCCAACAATCACTGTTCTGCACTGAGGCAAAAGAACGTAAGAATTTCAATGATTTACCTTATAAAAAACAATAACACGGAGCAGACCTGATCCGAACCATGGACGTTGAGCTTACGGTTCCTGTGTCGTCTGTTAACGCTTGAGAAGATGCAATTGCTAAAGGCGTATAAGAGCTATCTCATGTTAGATGAAAATCTTGCATAAGTCACATTTATGAAACTCATATGTGTCGTTCATATATGTATTGTATGTATGTAAAGGATACCACTCATTGTTGCAAGGCACAGCCATTAGACAGTGGATCATCCTCCAAGTATGACTTGATCAAGTACGATACCTGGTTGTATTCAATTTACCATTGTAAGAAGGGCCAAAAACGGAGGGGCGGACCCGTAAGCAGATACACTTACGCGCAATCCGCGGGATCAGGAGAATCGCCTTCCAATGATAAAATCCTACAACCCGATGTAGAACAAGCCATCATACGAGGGAACGTCCCAATGAGTAAGGGGAAGAGCCCGCCGTCAATTCACGAAATGTTAATGACAGGGAGTTCCAAATCGCTTCAATCCGGTGCCCTGGTGGTCCCATCCCTCCCCTTTGCATTTAATGTGTGTATATATATATATATTTATATCGGCATTTCCCGTTAGATTTTGTCAACACAATTTTGCCTTCTTAGCTTTTCAAAATCTTTAATAAATGCAAATCTTATCATCTGACCTATTCCGCGAGTCGTGCGAATCTCCACCACCAATGAGTCAACAAAAGTCACGCACTAGTGGGGTGACTCTCCGTGCAATCAAATGAAGAGTCACCTCACACGAGGCGACCACCGTCACCCTACTAGCGACAGAGAGCCATACTACTCGCAGAACAGGCCTGCAGGTGACGTTTAAAGCTCCACAATTTTACTCAAGCTCAAGCAGTTTAAATATACTGAGAACGTGTTGCCAAAATCGAACGGATACTTTATATGTTTATTAATTTATCTTACCTTGATGGACCAACTACTTACCTGTCCTTAATGGCCATAAGCTCCAATCGGTATTTCCCGGTAAATCCGATCATGATCCTGCTGGGGTGCTCCAACGATTCATGATAATACTCAAACACTTTCCTCGGCGATGGCTGAACCAATTTTAGTGCAAACGGTTTCATTGTTGTAGTTTTTGTACTTTTGGACTGGAAGTGAAACTCATATGTGTCGTTCATAAGTCGAGTCTTATGAAATTCTTAAGTCTATTTGCCTCAGTGTGGAAACGATAATGCGATTATCGTTTGTGTTACAGATCACGATCATATGAAATAGCGATAATCTCCGATCATCATTATAAAGTGTCGTCACTGAAAATTCCCCGTATAAGACAAGAAAAATCAAATACCCTATAATATGAGTATTTTCGGAACCGGAATGACGTATAGAGATTGAAGATCGATGTACCCCGCCATTTGGAAATCCTAGATGGAGGCCATGTATTTCAGAAGGAAAACTGTCAAATATCCTACAATAGTTGATATTTTTGGAATTGGAATGACATGCAGATGTAGGAAATTTATGTCTGCCACCATTTTGGAATCCAAGATGGGGGCCATTGGTTTCATAACAACTGTCCTATACCATGGAATATTAGTATTTTTGGAACCGGAATGACGTGTAGAAGTCAAAAAACGTTGTCCGCCACCATTTTGATTAGTTTATTTTAGTTTTTTTTTATAAATCTAATGGCCGCCATATTTGGTTTCAAAATGACGGCAGACATCGATTTTCGACATCTACATGTCATTCCGGTTCCAAAAATACCCATATTGTAGGGTATTTGATAGTTTTTATGAAATCAATGACCTGCATCTTGAATTTCAAAATGGCGGTGGAAATCGATTTCTAAACGTCATCCTGGTTCCAAAAAAGGAAAGGCGATAGTTGCCCCTATCCGATGATGTTTTTGGTTTGCGTGAGCGTACTTCGGTTCGCGTTTAAAGGGCCTTCAAAAGTTTGTTTACAAAAGCTTTTGTACCGTTATCAAATGTTACGCCTGATTTGATAGTATTCTGAAACCAATGCACAATGGTCCCAAAGCCGTATTTAGGAAGACAACAATATTTGCACCCAAAATATCACTTTTAGGTATATGGTGTTTTAGGGAAAGTTTCTTAATATTTTTGACCGATCTTTTTATGTTGTTGAAATTAGGGTGGTCCATAAAATGGTGAATTGAAAATACATTTTATTTTTATTTGAGATAGACCAATGCAATGTTCTAAAAAGCTGTAGAACAAATTTCTATCTCTTATGAAGTTATGATTTTTTTTTAAACAAGCAGTTTAGGGTGGCCCCTAGAAAATTGGCTTTCTTTAAATATCTTTTCATACGTTCATTTCTCGTAAAAACTTTGTTCTAGATACTTTTAGAACGCTTATTTTTGCTGAAGCTACATTTTTTATTTGAAAATTTATGGCTAGTTTTTGCTGAAAAATATGACTTAAAAAAAATTCAATGCTCTAAACAAAAAATGCTCTCGCAGTTTTTTCACCAAAAATTAAGAAAAAATGATCTTTCAAATGGAATCAAAAGTTTGAAAATCGGTTTGCTCCATTTAGAGATATTGACAGTTGAAAAGAGCCATTGTTTCGAAGAAAATCGCCTTTAACGTATTTATCAAAAGATATATCAAGCTGGTTGCTGTATCAAAAATATGCGTCATCAAAAGTTCTAAATGTGTTCACAACAACGTTTTTACGAGTAATGAACGTATGAAAAGATATTCAAAGAAAACTGATATTTTAAGGAACCACCCTAACCTGCTTGTTTAAAATAATCATAACTCATGAACCATAAGAGATAGAAATTTGATGTCTTGAGCAAAGTTGCTTTAAATTGAGTGTTCTACAACTCTTGGTTTATCTCAAATAATAAAAAAGTTTGTACATTTTCAATTCATCAATTTTATGGACCACCCTAATTTCAATTATATAAAAATATCGGCCAAAAAATATGAAGAAACTTTTTCCAATACACTATATACCTTATACCCCGGACAGACTATGGCTTATATCATGTAATATAGGCTGCCTTGCAATGAGCACTCATACATCTAGTTTTCACTGGAAATCCTATGTATGAGTGCTCATTGCAAGACAGCCTATATTACATGATATAAGCCATAGTCTGTCCGGGGCAGTGCTGAGATTTGTCATTGTCATTGACAGACTTTCGCGCGATATTGACAAAATTGTTCGTCACATAGTCACTGACAGACTTGATCCTCAAAAAAACCTGCGTCAAAATCTCATTCATTTTTTCGTCAATGACAAAGATTCACCTGGTAACAGAAAGTGTAATTTAGTACATTCTGTGTCGCATTATTGTTATCCAAGTAGCTCAGAACGTAGATACTTGTTCACTAAAATGGATCCATGTAATTGTTTTGCTCAAGTCATTTAATTTCGTTACACATTTAGCTAATAAACAAATCTGCACATGTTCGTCACTGACACCATTGTCATTGACAATTGACATGGTTTGCCTTGACTATGACTCTTAGCTTAAATGAGTGACCAAAGCAGAATTGTCAATATCACCGTGTACTGTTGAGATTTTGCAGCACTGGTCCGGGGTATTATACTGACGGTTTGGGTGCAAACATTTTTGTCTTCCTAAATACAGCTTTGGGACCATTGTGCAATGGCCGCCATATTGGATTCCGAAATGGTGGTGAATTGAGCCTATACACCATATTTTAGGGTATTTGACAGTTATTCTGAAACCAACGGCCGCCATCTTGGACTTCAAAACGACGGTGGACATTGATTTTCGACATCTACGTGTCATCCCAGTTCAAAAATACACTCAAAAAAATATGCACGTCCGATCTACGTGAAAACATAGGTAGCTTTCGTCCATACTACTTTTCACGTAACATTTACGTTAATTCCATGTAGCCAAAAATATTCCCATTTAGCGGTCAACGTGAACAGTAAGGTAAATATAACGTGATTACCAATTAAGTTGGAAGCGGTTACCACGTAATGTTTACGTGATTTTGAAATGATATTTACTGGAAAATACTGTTCATCTTACGTTTACGTTCTGTGGTTTCCACTATAATTGGAATGGATTTGCACGTAATGTTGACGTGATTTGAAGTGAGCTTTACCGGATCTAACAAATACTGTTTTCCATTTTGTCCAATAAAGAATATTTATACATTGTTAGCATTTTTTATTAATACGTCAAGTATGTCATTGAAACGTTAATACTAACCATTTCGCTTTTCCAACACTTAATTGGTCATGATAATTCATATCTCGATACAGATGCAATATCCGTTTGCACTGTTTACTGCCGAGTCAGGCTAAATTGATCTTTGGAAAATGCCCATGAATTGTATCTTGTAATTCAGCTCCTGAAATCGAAATCAACAGTGTATGACGGATTTCAAATAAAGCGAAATAATATAAAAATACCTTCAAATAGTTGCAGTAGGCTGTTAAGGAATCACTTCTTCCACTAATATAATATTGAATCACTTTTTCATACATGTAAATCACGTAAACTCATTTGACGTAAGCACACCACAATCACACAACCGCACATAGAAGTTTGATGTGAAAATTTTGTCACATTCATCATCAGCTCCAGTGAATCTGACATGATATGTTTATCAATTTTACTACCATCATGTAAACATGAAATTTGAAGCATTCGAATGAGCTACGTGATTTTTCACGTAGATTAGGCGTGTATATGTTGTAGAGTGTGCATGATTATCACTTACTTTTTACGTGAAATTCCCTTAGCATCAATGAACATGAAAATCACGTAAATTTTATCAAAATTTAATTTGACATTGACGTGAGCCACGTAGAAATGATCGAAGTGGGGTGTTAAAGAGGTTACGTGATTTTTCACGTAGCATTAACGTGAAGATTTTTTAGAGTGTAGGGTATAGAGCAAGTTCCTAGATTTCGAGATACAGTAATGTCCCGATTTTGCCAGCCCTTTTATTGAACATCTTTGCTAATGTTCCTCGAATCCCATGCGCTTTTTCAGTGCGTCTTATTGCACCAAAGTTTACCATAAACATCTATCTTGAAATGTGAAATTTTTGAAAGATAAAAGTCTGATGCGCGGATGGGCTAACACAATCGGGTCATTACTGTACATTACACAATGATTGTTATAATATCAGTGGATTATCGTTTTTGTTGCTGATGTGTAACTCAAATGATAATCCATGATCTCAAATGTACATGTGCTTTTATCGTCGGTACGCATCGGAAGATATGATTATCTTAATTCCCAGTATTCTACGAATTCGTATTTGGAAATACGGTCAAATATTACAGTAGGTGGAATAATTCAAGGTTCTTATTCAAATTATGGGTGGACAGTATAAAAAAATATTTTCATTCTATAACTCGATGGTCCCTTCAATATCGAGTTACAAATGTGAATGATAGACCAAAACAAACAATTACCCAAAGTTCCATACAAATCTGAGAAGGTTGAATCTGAATGTTTGTATTGCTATTTGGCCTGGAAATGCTCTGAGTGTTTCGTTATTATCCTCCCAAGCAGGGATGGATCACTCTGTTGGGACTTTTTCATTGCTTTTTAATACAGAGTGCTTACTTTAGATCCAGTTGAATTTTCTGTTAACCCATCTTAAAATGGATTGTTTAGTGCTATTAATCCCCCCTCTGTGTTTTAACTGAATAATAAAAAGTAATGAAGAAGCCCCAACAGAGCGATCCATCACTGCTCCCAAGTAACAATTTTGGATTAATCCTACTCTTCTAGACCATGATTTAGACTAGAAGAATGCTTTAAATCTTCAATAAAACTTGAAACGTTTCTTGGGCTACAATTGACCACACTAACCGAATGAATTGTCTATTGTAGGAACCATCTTCGAGAGTCAAATGCCTTGCGTGATATTGCAATAAGCACTGTGAAGGGGAAGCAGGATGCTGATAGATTTAATTACGTCAAGTATCGTGAGTAAGGCGATTCGAGCAGTGGCGTCGCGTAACCTCACTTTTTACCTGTTCAACAACTTTGAAAACGTTATTTAGGGGCATGCTTACATTCAAATCAGTTTCAAAAGGCACAGGATCTTCTAGTTTCACTGATTTGTATCCACTGAAGTCAATATTGTTTTATTTGTTTACGTTTTGTGAGTTGTTGAACAGGTAGATTGAGGTTAGGGCGACGCCACTGGATTCGAGCAACTGCGCCGTTCGCGGACCAAACGGCTCGGGCCATCACCACAGAAATCCAGCGATTAACCTATGTTCACCGCCCACATTCATGAAGTGTACCCTACCTTCGACGAACTGTCGATGTATTTAAACAAATAAAGCTTAATGAGAATGAGAAAGGCGTTTGATTTCCATGTCCTGCATGTTCCCGCACAAAATGTGATGCTTTCCACTGACTTTGCGCTTATTTTTTTTGCAGAGACCGGCGTATTCAAGGCAGCCAAGTTTGGCTACACCCAGCGGGGATATGTGATGCTACTGTACAACGGGTATGGCTTCATCAAGGACCGCCAATCGATCAATACCTGCAACTGGAAATGTTCCCTATTTCGACGATTGAAATGTCGGGCTCGAGCGATCACGAAAAACGTCGACGGAGAGCAGTTGGTGAAGATAACCCAAGCTGCTCACACCCACGATCGCAGCGAGTATCGGGTCGATATGTGAATCCAGCAGAACTCGGCATTTACTTGTTGCGAAATAAAATTCTTATTATTTACCATCCCAACCATGTTTTACTTGCATAAACAAATTGACTACAGGCATACGAACTGACATGTAACCCCTTTTTTCTAATTTCAGAGCCTCCGGGTAACTTCAAAGAAGCCAAATTCGGATATACTAGACGTGGGAAAATGATGCTCATGTACAACGGTTACGCTTACATCAAAGACCGTCAAGCTCAGAATAGTTGCAACTGGAAGTGTTCGCTGTCTGGCAAGCAGAAGTGCCGTGCCCGAGCCGTAACGAAGGCGATCAACGGGCGAAAGTTGATGAAAATTACCAACGCCGTTCATAACCACGATCGCAAGGCGTACAACTTCAACGTATAAGCGATTTAACTATTTAACTATTACAGGCATGATTCTATTTGCACAATCGAGGACCTAGATTAAAGGGCTACGACGGTTGCATAATCATGTCTGGCGATGGTATTCCCCTCTATTCTGCGAGTCACGTGAGTCTCTCTCACCGGTGAGGTGACAATTGTCTTGTGATACGAACCGGTGACAGAGTCACGTGACTCGCAGAATAGGGGGGATTATCTGCCTACCCACATACCTATCTTTAAATATGAAATAAATCCAATGAGTTCCATGGCTTTGCGTTTCAATCGGAGTGGCTTGTGGTGGTGCATTTTCTCAAATTGGGTCCCGTAACACTAACCTCACTTTCTATTTTGTAGAAACCTATTCCAATGCTTATTTTGGGCGGACCCGGCGAGGCTACCAGATGCTTCTGCACGAGGACTTTGGATATGTCCGGGAAAAACAGAAGCTCAACACCACCAACTGGAAGTGTTCCTTGCACGCCAAGTTCCGCTGCAAGGCACGTGCCGTGACGAAAGAAATCGAGGGACAGCACTATGTTCGCATAACGTGCGGTACCCACACGCATGCACCGCATGCCGGTCCAGACCGAGCGAAGGCCTATGCCGGCGTTGGCAAAGATGAAGACAACAATAGTACGCCGCTGTGACGGATTGCGGAGCAGAACTAGACTGGGGCGGTAAGTGAGTGTGTTGCAATGCACAGACAAACAGACGGCGGGCACTCGTCGTTTCATTTCAGTCGACTTCGCACTGTCGAACATATTTTGTAGTGTCGCATCGAGAACTATTTACCCAATCTTGAGTCTTGAATTTCTATGTCAGTAGCCTAAGCAAGTGTTCAGTGTCTGAATTATCTATTTAGAAAAAATTATATCTCTATATTATTCTCTCTGGCATTCCATTGAAATGTTTGAACCTAAGAGCCTTCAATATTCTTTGTACACCAATTTAGGAATCTCCTCTGGGAAATTCATAGAATTCAAACTACAATTCTTAATAATTCTCGCGTAAGCAATTGTTAGCAAAGCAAAGTCATTACCTACATTTGGTACATAGACCCTTTTAACATGTTACCTGGAATTTCCTTTAGGTTCTGAGTATTTTTTTTTTAATTTGTCAAAGATTGTTGGATTGTTGTTGGAAGGATTATTGGAATTTCCATGCATTTCTCGTCTCGATTTCTAGGTCCCAACATTTAAAAAATAGTCCAATATATTCAAAATATATCCCAGAATCTTAAAACTTTTACAAGGTCGAGATTTTAAATCATAAACACATGTCAAATTGTCTATGTCCGTAAACTTACCAAGTGGGAACATTGGTCTATTGTCTAGAACAGTAGTTTAGGTTCCAGAGTTATGAAAAATGTTCTACAGAAGTTTCTATGTTCGAGATCTTTATAATTGCTTGTCATAACAGTCCGAGACTTTGCACATTTTTCTCTGAACTTCAATTTTTCTCAAGTCCAAGATTTCTTGATAAATCCTTGACATCCCAAAATTCTTTCTAATATCCAATTGCCGATCTGAATCTAAAGTCAATTTAGTAAATGGTTTGTTTCCAATAACTTGAGGCGGAGGTAATGTAGGTTAGAAATGAACCAATTGATTATTCAATTTATACTGATTTTACGAAAACAAATTGATGGGATCCTTCAACCATTTGTATTATTTAAAATAAACTTGAAAAATGCTCATTATTGATAATATTTCGCAAAGCGGATTTCCGATCAATAAATGTCACTATTGGTAACTTTTTTATTGTCTAAAGTCACTATTTAGTCACTATTTTCGTCACTAAAGTCACTACTATTGTACCAAATTCCCACTACTGCTTCCGTTACTTGGATTTTGATGTCTGCTTTGGGCATGTTTGCTTCCTCGGTCGACACAGGCTTCAACCATTCAAAAACGGAACTTGCGCTAGTTGTTCAAATTCGTTAGTTTGGACACTTGAAATTGATGTCTGTGTTAGGAAACCACCAGGAGTATGGCTGCCATACTCAACTGGGTCTGATTTAGATGATTTTTCGAGCTCTTGACGAATCGTAAAAACGGGACCTTCTTCGAATTGCAAGAAACTTTGCAAACTTGTTTGTTATGGGCAATGATTCACTGGTAAAATTTTCAAAATGGCGTCTTTGAATTTTTTTTTCATAAAATTGTAGCTTGGAAACGGTACTTAGTATCGAAATTACATCTGTGACAAAGTTGTAGTACAACATAATGTTTTCTGGGGAAAATATAAAAAAATGGTTTTAGTAATTTCAAGTAAACATTTGTGGTTTTTTTTACTCAAAATGAATAAGACACATTTTTGTTTGTTTTTCGCAGAAAGACATTAGTTTTCTCTACAACTTTCCTCAGACGTCATTGTGATCAGCAATGCCGTTTCCGTGCTACAATTTTTTGAAAAATTTCAAGCACGCTATTTTCGAAATTTTAAAAGATTCAAGATGGCTGAATTTTAGCCTAAATGGGAATCATTAACCATAACAAACAATTACGCAAAGGTTCATTTAAATAGGAGGCCTGGAACTGCTCAAAACAGTGCGTGGTTCGCGATCTATTTGAATGTGAAAATTTAAATGCTTTTAACCGCGCAGGAAACTTACTTTACTCAGTGTTACAGTTTCAACGCGTTCGGTATGCTTTTCAAAAACGTCAAAAAATGCCTTCAACATTGTAGTTTGATTTGAATCAATCAAATCTCCACAATTTCTGACAATATCTTGGCTAAAATGGTTGGTTCCTTTAAATGATAATACACAATATCATGGAGCCTTTTGAGATCTCCAGTGGTAAATTGTCTAAATAGCTTTCACCACTGGATCGAACTTTTGCCCTACCGGTGAAGGCGAAATCCGCTTACAAGCACTTTTCAGAAAGGTTGTTCTAGTCGCTAATCTGCACCGTAGCAAAGGGGGTCGCGTGTTGCAGAATCATGCAAATTATTCGAAGCGCTAGGCTGAACGCTATTGCGTTGAATTGTTAATTATCAATACTTTTAGATATGTTAAGTTTAATAAACAATAATTGAGATTCAGAGAAATAAATACACTGGAGTCGCTCTTTACGTCGTGCAGAGTAAAACGGAATTGCGTAAAAACCGTGTAAATTCGGAAATCGGTGTTTAAATAAAACTTGTAAATTGCCAAAGCCGCGTAAAAAGCAACCCCAGTAAATATTCAAGACAAACATTGACGCTATCGGAGGGGATCGAAGTATGCTTTGGCCGCTAGTGGACGTGTTTATGTTTCGCTTGTTTCGTCTAAATTTTGAAAATATTCCTAAAGCTTGGTTTAGACAGGGCAAGTCAATTGATCAAGTCAGTTGAATTCAACTGACTTGACCGCGAATTGAACGTGTAAACCATGCCATTCAACTGACTTGATCAACTCACTTGAATTGAAAAAAGTTGAACCAGGCTCAACTTTTTAAGCCAATTGAATTCAACTGAGTTGATCATTTGACTTGCCCTATCTAAACCCAGCTTAAAAGTGTTGAACAACTTAACCTGAACAATGTGAAAATATGAAAGGATAGTTACCGAGCGCCGTGGAAATCCTTATCATGATCGAATCGTGTGCTGCGCTCATGTGTTATTTATATGCAACGGTTTATCACTTAGGTAAATGTGTGCCGAACCGAAGCCTTGATATTCTTGGACCGTAGGATTTGTAGTGATAGATACTGTACCTGGTAACCAGTTTGTAACCAATCGCTCAAGATGGAAAACACCAAATTTGTGAATTTTTACCCAGCAAGCAGCTGCAGGTGAAAAATCAACTGAACTAGGCTGAAACATGAAGATTTCAAGTTTTCTGGTGTCAAATTCAAAATGGTTATTTGGTAAACATTATAGAGCAAGACCATTCCAATATACTATGTTCGATATTATATATACCCTGCATTGCATTACATATAAAT